CTCTCTCTCTCTCTCTCTCTCTCTCTCTCTCTCTCTCTCTCTCTCTCTCTCTCTCTCTCTCTCTCTCCTGCTCCTCAGAACGAACGCATACAGTGCAGCAGCAACGAGTTGTGATAACGGAACGTGAATTGAGCAGGAAGTTTTAATGGGACTCGATACAAGTCCCAGAGGGATTTTCCAGGAGTCATCATGGGAGTTGCACCCATTGGAACTTGGACCCAGCATCCCATCCCAGGTGGAGAGGGATGGTTCCTCTGGAATGGGGTGGTGACACTGGAATGGGGGCGCTAGTCCCATTTGAACTAGTCCCATTGGAACTAGTCCCACTGGGAGTAGTCCTGGTGTGGCCCCAACGTCATTAGTCCTTGGGTGGTCCCACTGGGATAGTCCCACTGGGATAGTCCTCTGTGGAGTTCATAGGAGAGGCCTAAACCCCTTGTTCACGGCCCCAGCCTTGCAGAAAATCCTTTGTTGCCTACTCGGAAAATTTCAAGCCTCAGGCCTACCGGACCACGATGGTAGGCGGCCATCTGAAAAAGAAAAAAGGTGCACCACTGGCGGTACTGCAAAGCTTGGCACACAGTGGAACCCTTCCAGGCCCGGGTGTACTAGTGTTTTAAAGCCTTAAATAAAGCCCAAATAGTTTATTAATTATGAACATCACCCCCCTTTTTCGGGAAACAGATTCGAGCCTGCAGCATTGGTGATGGGGTCAGATGTGGAGGTGGCATCATGTGAAGCTCTGGGAGTTGCAGTGCCTGCCTCAGAGAAAGGACAAGACCGAACCGAACCTGGGATGCAGGTTAGGTGCTGGTGGCATCTGCTGACAGGGGGTGCGGATCTCAGATCGCAACCTTGCCTCCCTCCTCCTCCTGGTCATTTGTTTGCCTTGCAATGAATCTGTTGCATAGCATCCTGGATACCCGGTGGGTATGTTTACTATTTTTAGCATGTTGGCATTTTTACTATCTTTCCATCGAGTGGAGGAAAAAAGAGCAAAAATGAAAAGGGATCAAGTCCGATTAACTTCAATGAACAAAAAAAGAAGTGGCAGTTAAGGGCGGGAGAAGAAGGGTGATGCAGCATCACTTGATTTATCCTCATCATTCGACGTTGCTGGTCCAGACTTTGTGTCTGTGGCACTGTGTACGAGGTGAGGCTTCTCTGAACATTGTCTGCAGATTTGGCTCGTGCCGCCATCGTTGCCAACTTATCCTCCGAGCGTCCTTTTTTTCCCTGGGCTGTGTGCTGCGAACAAAAAAAAAAACTAATCAGCGCACACAATCGTTTTCTTTCTGGCTCGTGCCACGATCCAGAACGATCGGGTAGTCCGGACTCCCCGAAATCGCAGTTGTATACAAAGACTTTAGAAGAGAATGGCCGGGAGGGATACTGGTGGTTTAAGAAAATATATTCATAAATAATAAAGAAAAACAAACGATTGCGTCGATTAGGCAAAATAACTGTTTCAGTGTGCTCTTCAACGTTTGTCTTGTAGGCTTATGGTTTGTTTGTTTTGCAATCAATGTGTGCGCTCTTTTAGTTGATACTAACTTTATAGATGTATATATGTGACAATATATCTATATATATAGTGTGTGTGTGTGTGTGTGTGTGTGTGTCCTCTAGGCTGTCAAGGGCAGACTGATTGTTGAGCCTTTTCTTATCCCCTCTCCTTTGCCTTCGTCTTCATTCCACAGAATCCACACTCCTTACTTTCCCTTACTTCCCCTTTGTCGTTCTTTGCTTTGTCTTCTCTCCACCTCTCTCCTTTGTGTTGATCAAACTTTATGCCCTCCCCTTTTGCTCTGCCTCTTTCTCACGGCGTACAAGTGGGCCGTTATGGCACACGGGGATACGGGCAGCTCGCTCTCAACTTCATCAACGTGGCGAGCGTTGTACGTGAGAGGCATGGTGAAGGGGCAGTTCAGAGAAGAACGAGAAAAATGAATGGTTTCAGTGTGCTCTTCATGTTTGTCTTGTGTGTTTTTATTTTTATCATTCGTTTTCACAAAGTGCGCTCTTTTAGTTCATAGAAATGTGACAATAAATTGTTTGCAGTGACGCTGCAGTCTTTCTGTTTCGCATGCCCAAGAGCAAAGTCTGTTTTCTTCCGTTTGCTTCCTGTGGAATATATATTATTATTTTCTCTTTTAACAAACAGTGCTCCAATCTATTCGTGGGGAACAACACGTGCTGGGAACCGGGCCCAGCGTCCCATATGAAAACATATGTAGAACATTTTGAGACGGGGGCCATTACCCGGCTTCAGCAATACCCTGAACAATCTTACTACTAAATCCACAACAGAAATGAGAAAACTGCTCTCTTTTAACTTAGACTCTGCCCAATCACTAAAATAGGTGGCTCCCACCAAAAAACCCATTCAATCTCACCCACAACTACTACCAGCATGGCCATTTTCACCACAAACCAAAGCTCTACCAGGCCTTGTGCTCCCGTCAGGCTGGGTTTCAGAGTTGCACCGCCTTGCTCCAGCTCCGGCCAGCATTGCTCCAGCTACACCCCCGATGACGACTGAGGCTGCCCCCACAAACAGGCCCCCAGATCTCTCTACCAGGCCTCACACCCCCAATAGACAAGGTCACAGATTTGTGCCACCTGGCTGTGGCTCTGGCCAGCGTTGCTCCCGCACCGGTCTTCGAGGGCCACCGAATTTTCGGCCACCCTTAGCATAAACCTCCTCGAGAGGCAAACCAATTCGAAAAAATTACTAGACTGAATGTTAGGATTCTTCGAGAGAGATCACCCTTCCCTCCCCATACTGCACCCCCCTCAGCCCTACACTGCCTCCGCCGAGGCGAGCCGCCCGCTCTTCCTCGGCCCCAATATAGGGCCAACCCTCTGCCCCCCTTTCCCCAGGGGCAAGCAGTTCCCACCTAAAGCATGCCCCACCACTCCTTGCCCATTTCTGCCTCCGCGGGGGCTGATTGAACCCTTCCCTAGAATAGGGCAAACCCCTAAATCCGCCCCCACCCTGTTCGAGACTTCACCCCCCCCCCACTTGTGATATCCCTGCAGGATAGAGCTCACCCCTCCCCCTTCGTACAATTCTAGTATTATTCTACCCTCCGGGAATGATCCAATCCTCTGCCGATTGCCATTATTGACGATGCACTTACCGAACTCTTGAATTACTTCGTGCAAGTCGCGACAGATATGCAATAGCCCCCTAAAAACACCCGGCGTCTTTTAAGGATAAACTGCTGAAGAAAGTGCAGGGCGGCAGCAAAACTGTTACAATTTCCCCCCCTACCCCCCCTTGCGCCCATCAAAAGTTGGCAGCTCCCACCACATGCACATCTCACCAATTTAAAAAAAAAAACAAAAAAAAAACTAATTAGCGGAAGGGTTCTCAAAATTTACTTATGGCAATAATAATAGACTTAAAAGTTAATACTATTTAATAGTAGAATTCCGAATTTTTCGGACCCCAAGACCAGAAGATCATGATGCCGAAATTTCTGCGCTCCAAGATCAGAAGATCATGATCGAACTTTACTCGGGAGTCGGGACCCTTAGATATTTTTGTAGTTGAGAATTGAGGACACATAATTGCTAATGTATTGGTCTTATTTTTCGACATCATTCATCCTGAATTGTTGGTAACCGACCCCGGAAGCACTGAATTGTGCCAACGATTCAGGATGAATGATGTCGAAAATAAGCCCAACACAAAACCAGGACAAAACCAGGACAAAACCAAGATTGTAAGTGAAGAAAGTGCGCTTACCTTAGAAGATAGCGGCGAGTGTAATCCAATTGTAACTGCAGAATTGCTATACGAGGTTTTACAGCGATGACTATGAAGTAGTATGAACCCTAACCAGTATTATCGAACAGGAGTGACAAGGCATTTACAATTGACTATGGATTATGCACAGTGAAACGATTATGCACAGTAAAACGATTATGCACAGTAAAACCATATCGTAGGAAGTAACAATCCAATTGAGTTGGAACTTGGAAGGAAGGCAAAATAGGAGCAACGCCACGATCATCCCAGCTACCTTCCCTTGTGCGATGAGCCCATCAACTACCGTCTTCCCCCGAACATAACGTACCCTAAAAATGAATGTATACAAGCTAAATTTCCGGTTCGGTACAGCTGTAATCAGGGTGTGTTGTGTTCGGGGGAAGAAGGTAGTTGGAGTCGAAAACATCATCAAAGTCTCTTCCGGATGCTCCAGCTTGATCGACCTTCCTCCTCCCACTCCACGTGAGAGCGCGCTCCTCCCTGTCCACCTGCGACTCTCAACAATACCCAGGAACAGAGGAACAGAAGAACAGGGCCACAACCGTGCCCGAAATCTCATGATGACCTTCCTTCTTCCGATGATGGTCTCCCCTTCGCCAATGTGCCAACCTGCAACACCACTTGGACGAGGCGCAGAGCCGAAGACGACTTTCCCTAACTGGCAAAGCCGGAAGAGCACCCGATCGGAAGCCCACACGTTGCTGGCCTCTCAAGATACACACCACTCACTAAGAAGAAACCCCCGGCAATGCCGGCATACCCAGTCACCATTGCCCATATGCTCGCGTGAAATCGCCCGAAAACGCACCAACGGAAGACGAAGCCAACGAAGCACAGCAAACGCAAAATGGACCGGGCTGGTAGCGGAGTGGAACACCAATAGCGAAGCGGCGCGGTGCTCCCGGTCGTGCCGCGCCGCCCGCCGCTCAGCTCTCCTCAAGGAAGGAAACCTTGGGTCATCCTGCTGTCTGCTATTCTATGACATTCATTTTGTGAATGCAGTGCACTCGATTATATATTTAACTCGTTTCTGGAAATCGGAAATTCTGGTGCAGATTACAGAAATATTTCGCCTGCAGGGGTCCATGCGTCGGAAGCATGGGTGGTGACCAACCCGCAGAAGTGGTTGCAACAGCGCCTCGGTATATGGTATGCAGTACTATGCCCTTTTTTCCCCCAAACTTTTTTTTTTTTTTTTTTTTTTCCCCCGCATTGTTTGGTTGTTTCGGTCGGGCATCGGAAAAGCAGGGACAGAGCCAGCTGGCGATGTTCAGAAAATTCAAAATTCGAAGGAAAGGGACAGAGCACGTGATGTTTGGAAAAGTGGGAGGGTAGGAAGAGAGCAGCTGGTGTTAAGGAAAGACATCCGAACAGCTCGTTGAATGCGGAGGTGAACTGCATCAATATCATCGCTTAACGGATTCTGCATTAATCGTGGCTTGGGAAAAAAAGAAAAAGGAAAGAAAAGGGGAACCCTTGCTTGTTCTCCGCCAGATCGCTTATATATTTTTGCCTGTTCTCTGCCAGAAGTATAGATCGCTTATATTTGACATTTCCTCAGAAGGCTTTGTAATAAGTTTGTATAACTTAGTAAAATTAGTATGTATGATTGGTGGTGTACTTTTTTTCTCCTTCTTTTTCTTTTCTGAATTGGTCGTGTGTACACCGCCAGCTCCCCCAGGCAAACTTTTGCGACTAATTTGTCTACTATGGGATTTTTTTTCGGAAGAAAAAAACAGTGTCAGTCAGGGTAGGATTGGCTTATAAGCAGGAACAGACCAGCGACGTGGGATTTTGGGATGAACAGTGGGTGAGTAATGAGTATACTATTTAGTATATACACTCATATCAAATAAGATCATAGTGCGTATGCGAATCGACATGAATTTTATTAGAGGATTGCACAGTGCTACCGGACCACAAGGGCTGGTGATGAACGCCAGCCACAGAGGAATGAAAACGTGCCCATGGCGGACAGTTTCTGTTTGGCGCTTCGTGGAAAGCCCGCACACGGGGGAAAAAAAAGAGGGTTGGAGATGCCGGTGGTTTAATTTCCATCGGAAAGAGCTTGCTGTCGTTCGAATCTGTGTGTTGCTGCGCGGGTTAGGATAGGATTCTTAGGAAGGAAGAAAGCCTAAATGGCTTTGCCACGTGTACTAACATCATGGCGGTCACGTCGATGATTTTGTCCGACTTTGTCTAATTCAAGCTTAAGGATAGCTTTTCTTACTGCTTTACTTCGTTTTTTTTTTTTTTTTTTTTTTTTTTTTTTTTTTTTTTTTTTTTTTTTTAATTATTTGACTTATTCAGTCTTAGAATCTTATTGAAGATTGAAGTCGCTGTACTTCAATTTGAGTCAGTGGACTATGAGCATGAATAATCAAACTGCCCATGATCGATCGCATTGAAACAGTTTTCACCTTTGGCAGTAGCCGATGCAGATCCCAGGGGTCGATCCCTTGACCTCAGATTACCTGTGTACAGTATCTGCACAGTTCCCTGGAGTTGAACCCGTGACCTGCACGATAGCCAGTGGTAAGTAGGTCGCCGTAGGTTGTAGGCTGTA